ACTCTACGTCTGTATAAAATTTTAGTACACATTTAACATACCGTTTACTCTACGTCTGTATAAAATTTAGTACACATTTAACATACCGTTTACTCTACGTCTATATAAAATTCTGCGCAAACCAAACACAACATTAATAAAAAGAACAGAGGTTTTTTGAAGGATATATTTTATTTCAAACCTGCAGTAAACGGAATCGTTCTGAAATTACTTACAGACTCCTCAGTGAAACGTGAAGGATGCTAACACAATGTTTACCTGAATTGTAATTATTAAAATGTTCATTGTCATCAATAGTATTCCTGAACTGGCCTGGCCAAAAATTTTGATTTCGTATATTTTAGTTGCCGTATTTTTTTTTTCTTGGCCGCAATTTTTCTTTTTTACAGCTGAGCTGGCTTTGGTTTAAATAGCGATTGCTTAGAATGTGGCCTCCATCATTTAGTAATTAGCATATTAGACTGTGTATTCGATGATCCATGGTTCGCGCCTCTTTGTTGCAAAATCGTACTTAGCACTTTGGATTCGTGGGTGCACTATAAAAGTGACGGTCAAATCCCACTATTTCATTATAGTACCCCAAGAGTTAGTAGTGGGTGCTGTTAACAAGTTGCATTCCCTCTAATCTAAGACTTCAAAACTAGGGACGACTATTTGAGATAGCTCTTTTGTAGCTTTGCTCGAAATTACAAAACAAACACTTACACAATTCTTAATTTGAATACACTTTTTATGAAGAATAACTCAATTAAATAAACACAGTTGATAATTCAAAACTTCTTTTTGAAGCGTTTGTAGAATTAGAATATCATTTGAAATATTCACTTTACTTTGATCTTTCTTTGCAACTAGGAATCTAAAAGCGAAACTGATATTCACTAGTGTTTCCATAGTTTAAGCTACTGGATCTCATTAACCCCACAAACGGCAAACCAGAGCTGAATCTTTTTGTCATAACATAAATCACGATTGATTTTCTGCTCTAACCATATTAACAACTATAAATGCTAGAACCGAACAAAATGCATACAATTGAATATCAGTGACCTTGGACACTACCAATGAAACTTCAGACCAAACCAAGCCTTTATAGTAGTGAGGTATCGAAAATCGAACTGGTGTATTTGAGTATTTTACACGCACAAGAAGGAACCTAACGTTCTGTAGGTATTTGATGAGGAGTGAAATAAAACTAGTTTCTACTTGATTGGTTGTAGTTCAGTTCAGTAATTTGTTCATACATAATTTTGAATTGCTTTATGTTTACGATTAAGTTAACGTAATTCCGATACATTTAATTGTTTCCTAAAATAAAGGTAAATTTTTATTTTACTTTCCATATAGTAACTGTTCTGACAAGATGTTACGACGAATATGGCTGTTTCTCTATCGGCGAACCATTCTTGTCGGTCTACCGGCCTATCAATCTTTACCCTTCTGACCCTAGGGACATTGATGTACATTTTTTCTTGATGACCAGAAGAAACATTGGCCAACTTCAAAAGCTTTCATTCAAGGACAATTCCACTTTTGTTTCTTCCACTTTCAACCCTTCTAATCCAGTAAAGATCATAATTCACGGCTATTTGGAGCATGGTAATGAAGACTGGATCCAGGTATATCATTCGTATGGAGAAATAAACTACTGATTGGTGAAGAGTCATGCATAGTAAATCTACTGTACTACTTTCGAAAGTTGACATTCAAGCTTTATTTTGAAATATAACATCACTCTGTTAATTTCACTGAAAATTTTCCTTTCATATATGTATTTATTGTGAAAAAAAAATCTTCATTTATTTAACTGTGGGCGTGTTATAAAAGTGAATGTCAATCATGTTATTTGGACAAAGAGCGAGATAAAGCTTTTGTGGCAAGGGGTGCTGGTGGCTGGGATTTCCCACATTTTTTTCAGTGTTCAAAATTCTGGACAGCTATATTCCTGAATCCTAGAGGTCTTTGACCTAGTTGTGCGGCCCATGTGCCCATAAGATACCATTCAGGTTGAAAATTCTACAGAACATAGCTTATCAGCAGTCTAGGTATACAGAACATAGTTTATCTAGGTAAATGTTGTACATAGCCATTGGATCAACGTCTGAATTTGTATTTTTCTTTTCTTTTTTCGATTAAAAATTTGTTTTGTGAGAGAAAATGTATGTTTCTCAAATTCCCGAGCCACCTGACCTTAGTTTGTACAATAATTCTTGAACCTGTTAGAATTAAAAATGCTACAAAAGTGTGACTCGTGTGAAAAATATGCTTTTAGAGAAGCCCAATGAGCCCGAATTATGAAAGAAAGTTTACCAGCTTATTTGTTATTAAATAAACTTCACATTTGAGATTGCCTTCGGCTTCTTAGTTGTGAGTTAGATATTCCATTTAACAACAACAAAAAAACAAAACAATAGTGATTGTCTTTGATACCAACCAGAGTCGTACGTTATAGAATAAAGGCATGTAAGCATGAAGTCGTACTATCTTTGACTCATATTTCTTGATTTTTATCCGCGGCATAGCGGCTCATAGAACGGCTCTGGTTTTTTCAAATACAAACTTTTAGCTTATAGCTCCGTCACCTCTCGACCGATTTGATATACAGGGTGTCCATAAAGTCTTTTTACTTTGTTCGATACACGATATCTTTAACATAGCCCCATAGACATTACTGGACTAAAGCAAAAGATAACAGATGCGATTGCAACCATTGATGCGGCTATGCTACAGCGAACATGGCAAGAAATCAAGTACCGTCTTGATGTACTTCGTGCGACTAATGGTGCCCATATAGAGGTGTATTAAATGAGGTAAAAAAATCTTTGAAAACCACTGAGTACAATAGAACAAGTCTGATAAAGATATCTTATCAATTGCCTTTGTAATAAATGTTTTAAATTGTAAAAAGACTTTATGGACACCCTGTATAATTACAGTTTTGAACTCAGGAGGTCAATCCCTTTCGATTGATGTATTTGACCACGCTCAAGGTCTTATAGATTAATTTACTCTAATCATGCCCAAAAAATTTTTAAATGCCGCGGCGATTGATGATTCTCTCTTGTTTAATCCTTTAGCTTGTTTCTTATTTTATTTAGGACATGGTTAGAGAACTTCTTACTCATGATGATTATAACGTCATTTCCGTCGACTGGGCTAAAGGTGGAGTACCTCCTTACACGCAAGCCGTAGCCAACGCTAGAATGGTCGGTGCCATCGTTGGAAAGTTTCTTCAGTACATGGAAGTATGTGTATATGTTAATCTTATTCACAAAAATAATTGAAAGTAAGCGTTATATAACTTGGATAATTAGTTTTATAATGTTCAAAAATAAAAGAGCTTGGCGTATGATAGTAGTTAGTGTGCCTGAATTGTGAGCCCGATAGTTCATGGATCGCTTCCCATTGCCGTAGCACTCGCTCCGCATTTAAGGGCCATAAACTGCGCTATAAGAATGACAATCAAATCCATTCCACTATTCGGTCAATAAGAGTATGCGAAAAGTCGGCGGTGTGTGGTATTTACTAGCTGTCTTTCCTCTTGTCTGGTGATTTAAAGTTGTAAATAAATATACAAAGATAGTTATGATTTTTAAAAGTACATTTGGTCCCCGACAAGTTAGTACTCAATAACTGAAAAAAAGTTATCTGTTATCTTTGGGGGAAACCCATGATGACCCTTTGCGAAACCTAGGGATTTCAAGGAACATAGTCTGAAAACCTCTGCTCTAGTCCATCAGTAAAAAATTACGATAGTCCTTTTTTAGCTTCGTGCGAAAATTTTAAAACAAAAATCGAAAGTTGTAATAAAACACAAAGATGATTTATTGTAGACTTAAAATTGTTTGTTTGTAATTAAGCACAAAGCTATACAATGGGCTATCTGTGCTCTGCCCACTACGGGTATCAAAACCCAGATTCTAGCGTTGTAAGTCCGCAGACATACCGCTGTGCCACTGGGGGCGTAGACTTAAAAATTTGTTTGTTTGTTTTGGATTTCGCGCAAAGCTACACGAGGGCTATCTGCGCTAGCCATCCCTAATTTAGCAGTGTAAGACTAGAGTAAAAGCAGTTAGTCATCACCACCCACCGCCAACTCTCGGGCTCCTTAAAAAGAAAAAAAACTTTTAAGTACATACAAACGTTAAGTATGCTTTGTTTTATTTATAATAAAAATAAAAATTTCACTTTTAGTTATTAACTAAAATACAATATCTGTTTAGGTTCTTTAAATCTATAACTTTGGTTTGAGAAAAGAAAGTTATTTAAAATACACGTTTGATTGTAATAAATGTATTTGTAGTTAGTGAGCTTATACTAATCAATGCATGCTTTTGATGTTTGAGGATTAACTTTGTTTAATTTGTACCTAATCCATCAGTAACAATATGTTATTCTTTTACAACAAACGGATCATATGTAAATATAAAGTTGGCTTAAAGATAATTTTTCCAATGAAAATGCGATGTTACATAAAATGTACTGGAAACCTTCGATTTGATTTTAAGTGTTACACATTGTAAGTAAACTGCCATTTTAGTTTAGCTGTAATATAGGTAAAATATTTGCTTCGTTTGTAAGATAAAAAGATCATATGTAAGGGAAGATTCAGCCTTTTATACGTAGCTAAATGATTTATTTCTTATGCTTAGGATTTCATATTACATTGAAGCATTGTTTTTTGCGTAAGTAAATAAGGAAGTAGACAGATTTTATACAAGCTAAAAGTTCGAGAATATATTTATTAATACGGCCATTACTGTTTTTCAGGATAATTTAAGAGTATCACCTTCTGACGTTCATATAATAGGCCATAGTTTGGGAGCCCATGCTGCTGGTTATACAGGAGAAAGAGTTCCAGGATTGGGTAGAATAACTGGTTGGTGATCAAACTTCAATTTATCGTTCTTAAAGTTCACTAATATACAAAATTTAGTAATGATTTCTATCCTGTGTAAATGCTTCGGTGTATTCTGTATATCGTTTGAAGTTAAGACTTGAACAATTATTATGTTGAGAAATTAGAAATATTTGTTTATATTGATTAAGAAAATCTAAATCATGGCGAGCTATGAAACGTTGTATAAAACCTTTTATTTATTATCTCATTCAACCCATCTCGGTGAATTTTTAACTAATTAATCTTATTTATCATTAGAAGTTGAAATTAAACCTCATATAACACTTAGATGTCTATATAAATATAACAGTATTGTTTGTTGTATGTCCATGTAACTACTTCTATATAAATATAATAGTACCGTCTTTTGTGTGTCCATGTAACTACTTCTATATAAATACAATAGCACTGTCTGTTGTATGTCCATATAACTACTTCTATATAAATATAATAGTACCGTCTGTTGTGTGTCCATATAACTACTTCTATATAAATATAATAGTACCGTCTGTTGTATGTCCATGTAACTACTTCTATATAAATATAATAGTACCGTCTGTTGTGTGTCCATATAACTACTTCTATATAAATATAATAGTACCGTCTGTTGTATGTCCATGTAACTACTTCTATATAAATATAATAGTACCGTCTGTTGTATGTCCATGTAACTACTTCTATATAAATATAATAGTACCGTCTGTTGTGTGTCCATGTAACTACTTCTATATAAATATAATATTACCGTCTGTTGTGTGTCCATGTAACTACTTCTATATAAATATAATAGTACCGTCTGTTGTATGTCCATGTAACTACTTCTATATATATATAATAGTACCATCTGTTGTGTGTCCATGTAACTACTTCCATATAAATATAATAGTACCGTCTGTTGTATGTCCATATAACTACTTCTATATAAATACAATAGGACTGTCTGTTGTATGTCCATGTGATTACTTCGCAGGGTTTGGATGGATCTTCACCAAAATTGACATGTAGGTTCATTAGGTCCATGCGGGGCTACATATAAATGTTTAGTTTTGCATTTTGTGCTTTGCGGTTTTTATGGGCGTTTTTTACCAGTACTTCGCCCCCTGTGGATGGATCTTCATCAAATTTAGCATGAAGGTTTGTTGGGTCCATGCAGAGATACATGCAAAGTTGCGGTTTTACATTTTGTGTTTTGCTCTTTTTATGGGCGTTTTTTACCAGTACTTCGCCCCCTGTGGATGGATCTTCATCAAATTTAGCATGAAGGGTTGTTGGGTCCATGCAGAGATACATGCAAAGTTGCGGTTTTACATTTTGTGTTTTGCTCTTTTTATGGGCGTTTTTTACAATTACATACAAGGGAAGCAGCTTTTCATGTCCTAAGATAACCTTTCATTAATCATAAATT